TCAAGACAGCTCAGAGAGTTTGAGGAAATGTTATCTTACACCATATTTACTCACTGAAACACCACATGATTATCTGCAAAAGGATCCATTAAGGAAAAAACAATGCTTGAGATTGAAATGTGATGCCGGAATCTCGTCACCATGCTGAAAAACATGGTACATTCAACGGTTTCAAGCACCCGATTCATCGCGTCACAGGATGCTGCGTGCCGTGTAATTAAACATCCACATATGCGTCGATCACACAAACAGGCCTATGCTGAATATTGCATGTGGCAGTTTTGATTGACACACCACATTCATTATAAGTTTTAAAACATTCCTTAAATAGGTGATATATTTTTGCGCATATACACACTCTCTCTCATCGATTACATAAGAAAGCAATAAGGGGAAGTGCGTCTTAAACACTGACTAACTGCGTTTAACAGGAAAAAGATGACATTCAGTGCGCTGCGTGGGTAACGGGTCCGTTTGACTCATGAACTACACGCTGTGAGCCTCCTACCGACTTCAGCTTCTGTTGAACTGAACAAACACGATAGATTGTCACTAGTCAGCCATGCTGTACGCAGCAGACAACATTCAGCCAAGAGAATAATGCAGAAAGACAAGGACGAGAAGCTAAAATAGAGCATATTCAAGAAATGAACTATACAGACAAAGATACACGTCTCTGTTCGTTTCACTGCGGAAATCATTTTCTCAAACTGTTTTTTTTGTATCTTGTCTTGTTCTCTCACTAAAATATCTAAATAGCCTTAAAACGTAATTTTGCATATTATGATTTCAGAGAAAACGTCTTGGATTTTGCGAATTGGTCTTTTTCCCTGTTTTAGGCATAAATCGAACAATATTTAGTGAGGTTTCTGCCTAAAAACTATGGGGGGAAAAAAAATCTAATTTGCCAATAGAATTTGTTTTCAGTGAATATATCTTGAATTAAGTTTATTTTTCTTAACTTATTCACAAATAGATTTTTTAAGAACGAATCTAACAATATAGTGAGGTTTGTGCTTGAAAATGAGAAAATTGCTAATAAACTTAATTCAAGATTACAAAATTTTTTCTCAACTAAATAGATTTCATTTTAATTTTCACCAAAAATATTAGAACTTGTTTTCAGAGAATATATATTGAATTAAGTCTATTTTAACTAATTTGTAAATAGCTTTTTCTTGTTTTAAGCAGAAATCTAACTAAAAGAGATTTTAGAAAACAATATTTTCTATATTTCAATATTCAGAAAACAAGAAAAAAATATTTTCAATGGGGTGAGAAAAACCTAATTCAAGACATATGCAAAATTTGTTAATGGATATAATTCAAGACAATATACAAAAATGGTTTCTCAACTAAATTGGTGTCTCGATTTTCAACAAAAATATCTAAACATTCTTAACATGTACATTTGCATACTGAAACTTGTTTTCAGAGAATATAACTTGAATTAAGTTGATCTTTTTTCTGAATAGTTTTTTCCTATTTTACGCATACATCTTACAAAATTTGGTGAGGTTTGTGCTTAAAAACTAGGGAAAAATACAATCTGTAAATTAGGTAAGAAAAACTTAATTCAAGACACAATATACAAAATTTGTTTCTCAATTATAGATCTAATTTTAAGGATGCTTAAATATTTTTATAAGAAAAAAGGCAAACTACTGATTGAGAAAATGAGTTTCGCAGTGTAATTATATTTAGTGTTCAGTGCAAAAGACGTTTTAGGGCAAAACGGGGTTTTGCAGAGCAAACGGATGGTGCATTTAGTGACTATGATGTCCCTGTGCATTACTGTACAAATACAGATCGCTAACGCTTAGAACAACATGAAGAAATAACTAGTTGCATACGGGCTAGTCAGTTTTCTGCTCATCTACCGTTCATAAACACGACAAAATGAGACGCCCATATGACAAATAACAAGCATCGTGTTTCACCGTGCAAAATACACAGATCCTAGACGTCGCCCTGCCAAGCGTTGATACTTTTCGTGACCATTTTGAGCAGAATTTGTGAATTTTAATATGCATGGTAAACAAATGAGTTATTTCTAGAAATGCAAAAACTGAAGACCTTCTAACACGATCATATTTTAAAGGTTTGAAGACGTTTAGGCCCAGATTTGACTTGGTAGTGTGCGATGAAATGGCTTCAGGTAAGAACTCGCAGAAGAAACCGAGAACTAGAAGGCAAAGGAAGGTTATGCATTTCATATTTACGTTCCTCCGAATCCTAATCACGTTGTCCCATCCAGATCCCATAGCACCTTGTATTGTGACATCACCCAGCCATCAGCCAATCACAGAGTCAGATTCAGTCGGAATCAACACCCCTTCCTGATGGCACACAGAGCAGGAGGGCGCACACAGGAAAGAGAGAGACCTCACTTCCTCTCCAGTACAGCGAGCTTCCTGTGGATGGCGGTGGTGGCTTCACTTGCGGACGGCCTGCCGGTAGCTGTGTCTCTGGCCCTGACCGCGGGAGCAGCCGTTGTTTCCATTTCCAGATGGTTCTTGTGCATCAGCAGCGATGCTTTGGCTCGCGCCGTCTCTGGTGCTGCAGGTCATACTGCTGTCCTGAAGCGTGGGGCTGGACTGAGCTCTCTGTAGCGCACCTTCCTCCAGGAGCATGGCCTCAAACACTGACAGGTCATCGTCGCCGCAGCGCCGCGTTTCCAGACGGTTCTTGTGCATCAGCGGCGATGCTTTGGCTCGCGCCGTCTCTGGTGCTGCAGGTCATACTGCTGTCCTGAAGCGTGGGGCTGGACTGAGCTCTCTGTAGCGCACCTTCCTCCAGGAGCATGGCCTCAAACACTGACAGGTCATCGTCGCCGCAGCGCTGCTTCGCCCGCAGGAGCATGCTGTACGTCTCATAGCGCGTTTTCTACGAGAGAGGGACGTTTTACTAACTTGATGAAAATGCTTTCACCCTCAGGTCATCCAGGATGTAGATGAGTTTGTTTCTTCATCAGATTTGGAGAAATGTAGCATTCAAGCTCACCAATGGATCCTCTGCAGTGAATGGGTGCCGTCAGAATGAGAGTCCAAACAGCTGATAAAAACATCACAATAATCCACATCACTCCAGCAACTAATGTCTTGAGAAGACAAAAGCTTTGTGTTTGTAAGAAACCAAATCTATCATTAAGATGTCCATAATGCCTAATGTTGCTTTCTACAGTGAAAAAGTCGTTCCGTCTGAATCAGGAGAGAAATCTGCACAGGACCAGGCACCATTTACAAGACAAAACAAATATGTGAGTGGATTTTGATGTGAGAGGACAACAGTAAATTGACTTTTTCACTGGAGGAAGCATTAATATGGACTCGTATTTTAGCCGGAAGCAGCTGGAATTCCTTAATGATAGATTTGTTTCTTACAAACACACAGCTTTTCTCTTCATAAGACGTTAACTGATGGACTGGAGTGGTGTGGATTATTGTGATGTTTTTATCAGCTGTTTGGACTCTCATTCTGACGGCACCCATTCACTGCAGAGCACCCATTGCTGAGCAAGAGACGTAATGCTACATTTCTCCAAATCGGATGAGAAACAAACTCATCTTGAATGTAGATGTAGAATTGATCAAAAGTGACAAAGACATTTATAATGTTTCCACAAAAATATGAAGCAGCTGTTTTCAACACGGACAATAATCAGAAATGTTTCTGGATCAAATCAGCATATCAGAATGATTTCTGAAGGATCATGTGACACTGAAGACTGGAGTAATGATACTGAAAATACAGCTGCGCATCACATTTTACCAATACATTTAAATAGAAAATACTGTAGTTGTAAGTATAGTCCGAAAATAGTTAAATTGTAATACTGTTTTTACTGTATTTGTGATCAGATATATGGTGACCTTGTTGAGCAGAAGAGACTTCTTTCAAAAACATAAAAAAATATTACCAACCCAAACTTTTGAATGATAGTGTATATATTTACCTCAAACTCCAGATACTCCTCTCTCAGCCGGTACTCCTCGAGTTCACGACCTTTCACCTTTCTGTCAGGCGGATAAGAGCGCAGTTGTGCAAGCTCAGTGGAGATGGAGCGAAATCGAGCTTCATGAGCCTGTACCTGCTCCTCCTACACTCACACACACACACACACACACTTTATAACACTGCAGTTTATATAAACACAGATTACAAGCACACATACAGCACATGCACAGTCACTCTTATGAATCATAACAAGCCTCCTTGCTCTCTACTGCCTACACAGGTAGCTGTCTTTTAAGGAAGCATCCTAACTGAAATCAATAAGTGATACATGTCATGGAAATGGGCATCATGTAAATAGGTAAAATAATTATTAATATTTATTAACTAATTATTTTATCAAATAATTACACTTTACAACAAGGTTTCTTTTGTTAACATTAGTTATCTGTATTAGTTAAGATGACCTAACGATAAACAATACTTCTATAGCATTAATTCATCTTAGTTGAGGTTAATTAATGTAGTTAACTAATGCTGACAAATGAAACCTTACTGTAAAGTGTTCCGTTTATTAATATATATTTATTACTATATTCATCATATTATTTATTATTATAGGACTTTATTAAGTCTTTAAGTATGAAGACTTAATGAAAACATTTGTGACAACTTTTATGCAAATCAGCTGATTTGACCTGTGACAGCTTGGAGGCGGAGCCTGGCAGCAGCGGTCGACTGAATTTCTTCTGTGAGCCAATGGCAGCAGGGAGGGGCGGGGCTGAAAACATGGCCGCCACCGTGTTGATGCGTGTGATCCAAGACTGCATTTGTTCAGCATTCCTACACAAACAAATCAAATCCATGTTAATTATAATAATAGAAAACATCTAAAAACATCTGCAACATTTTCTTCTCTTCATTATTAGTAATAATGCATAAACCTTTGAAGACAGACGTACAATGAGCTCTGTAGTTGGTATAGTGGTGGCCAAAATGATTAGAACA